GGTGCTCTATCATCCCTTTTTCGTGATAAGGGGTGCATCTTGTGGCGATGTTCCTTCTTTGCCATTGTATGGGGTTATGGTTAGAGAGGAATAAGAGTCTTTGAGGGGCTTGAGAGGCTTTGGGAGGAGGCGTGGTTTCTTGCTAGGTTTAATGCGTCTCTTTGGCGTCTGTTATTAAGGTTTTTTGTAATTTTTCTTTAGGTATTGTCATTCTGGACGGGATTCTTTTTCTATTTAGTTAGGTGGCGACTGGGGGCACCTTTTGTTGGGCAGCTTTTTTGTATGCTCCTTGTACTATTTCATTTCTTCTTCACGAAAGCAGTTTTTAGTTAAAGAAAAAAAGCTTGGCTTGTATTTATTTATACAAGCTAGCTTGAGGAGGGGAGTACAGATTTGTTTTATTTTATTTAGATGAAATATTAGTCTTTTTAATTTTAATTATTAGTTATTCTTTTTCTTTTTATAATTAGTTTCCTTAGGTGTAATGTCTTTGGTATTCCCATTATTGGGTCATTTTGTTGAATGAGAAAATTATCTCCTTCCAAAATTACAAATTGGTGCGTGGCATTAACAAGAGATCATTTTTTAAAATCCTTTGGTATTGAAGGAAACATGTGCTCGAAGGAAAAGGAAAGTAACTGCTAGTGACCGCATGCTCTCCTCTTTGATGGTCAATCAATTGCTTTCCTAGGATTATCTCTATCTCCTCGTTTTAAAAGTATTATTTTATTCCTAAAGAAGATAACATAATGATGCGATTGAATACGTAAGATTCCAAATATGAATCTTGCTTGTAAACCCATGGCTTTTCCTCTTTTATTGCATGTATCACTATGCTTTGGCATCAGTAGCGTCTTCTATTGGCAGCCTTTGACCTTAAGAGGTGTATTTGTGCAAGTCTTTTTGCAGATCTCTGAAATAAAATTAGCTGATATTCCCGATGTTGACCTCTCTTGTCTTGGAGAAATTAATCATGGGAGCTTCAGTGTTGAAGTTGTGGATCCTGTTTCTGACTATTTGGAGCTGATGGAGGTGATGAAAACCCTCGCACATGCCACAAAAAGAAAAAAAGATAAATAAAAAAGATAAAATTTTTGAAAATTAAAAGTGATCATGACAATTAACATAAAGTTTTTGGTTTGCTGCAGAATGTATTTGATTTTCCACTCATAAAAAGTCTGCTTTCACGTTCGGATTTCAGGTAATAATTTTAGTTTATAATGCCTATGCACAGTGATGCTTTAATCCTTTTTTCAAGATTAAATCATTTTCCATCCCCTAGGGTTTCTTCTGATTTGTTCATTGGCCATAAGAAAAAAAAAATGTTGGACTCTTATCTTTTTCTTTTAGTAAATATTATATCTAATATATATTTTTTCACTCTTATATTATTTGTAATTATTAAGTGGTTGTTATTTTATTTTTCTTATTTGCAGAAAAATGTACAAATATAATTTAATTTTTTCGGACAAGTTTAGTAACAATATTTGGGATAAGTGCCACATGGCTTTTAGATTTCTTGGTGGATTACTTCATCTGACCCGGGTGATAACTAGCAAGTATGGTAAGGAATATATGGTATGAATTAGACATTAGGTTAAGCAGCACCAAAATTGACGCAGTGAGGTTTTTTTTATACAAGAAAGATACATTTTGATTTACTAGTGAAAAGTAGAATGTTAGATCCTACAACCTTACCTGAATATGGTCTGTTCTATAGGTTATACAGCTGTATCCTTGAGTTCTAGGTAGAATGTTAGATCCTAATAGCCACACCTAGAAAGTGAATTCATTCAGACCAACAAAAAATCTATCCAAAGTGCTTTTAAAGAAACCCACCCCGATTAGAACTTATTTCAGGAGTATAATTTCTGAACTTCTAAGAGACCGATAGGTATCTATAATATGGAATTACTTCTGCAAGTAGAGATTACAATCTAAATGAGGCCAATTCAAGACGCCCACGATCCTTCCAAGTCTCAGACTCCTACTTCCATAACTAGACTCTTCTGACCTTCCATGACTCTACCTTTTATCTGAACAAAATAACCGTCTTTTTTTTTTTTTAACAAAATATGAACTTTTCATTGATGAAAGGATACAAACTCTCCAAAGAGTGAAAGAGAAACATAAAAACAAAAAGACAGAATTTAAACAACAAAATTACAAGGCCAAATAAAAACATCCCAATTGTTAACAATAAGAGAAAGGGAGAGCTTTCTTTTGAAAACTTTTTTGATAGAGTTCTTGTTTTAGCTATGGGTTGGAGTAAATGTTTCTACCCCCTTCAACAATTACTCTCTTAATGAACTTATTACAAATCGGAGAGTTTTCTTGTAATTGCCTTATCAAGGCCTTTTGTATATTTCATGCCATCAATGAAATATTGTTTCATATAAAAAAATAAAAAAAATAAGAGAAAGGGAATAATGTGAGAATGGTTCAGAAAGAGAACACCAATGAGATGATTTGAGCTTGGCGGATGAGAGACAAATGAGCAAAAATCTTCTTTTGTTCTTAAAGATCCTCGAATTCCTTTCAAACCAGATTTCTGAGATAAAACTCTTTACCACATTAATCCATAGAAGTCTTGCCGTAGGTGACAAGTGTGTGACTCCACTTAACAATTGAGTCAAATTTGCTTCGGCCCTCAAATCAAAAACCCAACTGATCTTGAACTGATCAAAGAGAGAAAACCAGCCCATAAGAACAATGAAAGAACAAAATGATCAATATCTTCCCCGCTCGATTCACAAAGAACACAAAAAGAAGGAAGACAATGAAGCTGTGGGAAGCTTCTTTTGAATCAAATCAGCAGTGTTTAACTTTCTTTGAAGCATAATCCAAGAAAAGATATTAACTTTCCTTGGGCTTAATTCCTTACGCATCGAAGAGGAATTATAAAATCTGCAAACTAAATTTACAGTAAACAACCCTGTAGGATCAATATTCCATTCTCTTTTGTCCTCCTCCTTAGTAATCGAAAAGGAGCTAATCACCTGTAGCAGGCCAACAAACTCATGTAGCGCATCTTCCTTCCAAGGTCTTCTCAGAATAATGTTCCATGAACCAGTAGCATTGTCCCAAAAGTCAGCAACAGGACCATGAGGTAATATAGAAAGCTTGAACATTCTGGAAAAGCTTTCATTTAAAGGACTGTGAGTAGTCCAACGAGAATTCCAAAAGTAGACCCTGCAACAGTTATTAATTAGAGTCAAATAACTATAGTACAAAAGTTTGAGGTTTGATTCCCCTTTTTGCCCTTTCTAGAGTAGACGTTCAGATCGGAGGTCTAAAAGTACCTACCACCAATCCTCTTTGCTTATGCATGCCCATCCAAAGTTGGTTCCACAGTTTACTGGCCTGTTGCAAATATGAGCTACTATGGCTCTAGTTGTGTATCGCCTTGCCTTGCCAAGTGGCGTTGACATCCATCTGGTCTTTCACGTGTTGCAACTATGAAAGGCTGTGGGTACCAGTCTCTGTTCTAGCATCCCCTTTCTTCTGATTTGTGTGCAAGGGGGCAGCTTGCTGAACTCCTGGGGTTGCAGTGTCACATACTGTTGAAGGGGAGTTAGAGGTCTTGATTCGTTGGGATGATACTGACTCACGTTACTTGGGAGTCAAATTCTTTCCTCACTTTGCAATCTCCAAATTTCCACCTTAAGGATAGGGTAGCTACGTGGGGGTGGGCAATAGACCCCAATAGTGAAGGTGTATATTAGTTCGTTAGACTGGTCAGACTATAAATTAAATATAGATTCTGGGGAGGGCAACTTTTTGGTAATTTTCTTGTACTTGCACTGAGAGTGAGGTAAGGAGAGGCAGGAGCTCTCGAGTCTCCCTTGACTTGCACCTTCTGGTTACATAAATAAATTGGTTTCTATTAGGAACTTATA